TCAAAGTCATATTAAATCAATTTTATTTGAATATTTATGTACTAGAACTTCAGTCACTTAAATTTCCATCTTATTTAAACTTTAACACTGGTCTCCGGTATTCTCATTATTTTATTCTCTATTCAATTCTCCCCGAAAAGTATTTATAATGATAAGTYACATTTCATTCGACAATGAAATAACGCATTATAGTCCAAGTGCATGCATTACTAATATAATATAACTCTAATCACTCACCTCAATGGCAAAACACCGTCCATAACCTGTTGAATGTTAAGAAAAGGCGCCAACGCAAATCCTTTTTTCAATAATCCCGAATGTTTAGCATACACCTGATCAGCAGCTGATACTGAACCTTGTTCTAAGCCATGCGTAGAWTCATCTATGAATACAATTTAGTAAATATAATTTTTTTAAAGTTCAAGCTTTTCAAGGGTGTATAATTACCATTTGGTAAAATTATATCACATTTTAAGAGTGTTGAGACGCACATCCCTCCGAGAAATGAAAGTTCGGTTTCCAAATGAACGAGGCCATARCCAAGAGCTTGATATTTACTTAGCTCTTCTACTTCGTAACCAATTACTAGACAACGAAAGCCATATCGAGAAATCTTATCGTTTTTAAGATAATCTGATGCAGTTTCCAGTGAAAACATGACTTCGTTACCTGTATGTAAGTATATTGATAAAACGAAATATCTTCGTAAAAAATTTTGAATCTAAATTATACTACATACCAGGCAACATAACAGCAGCAAACGGCCACTCAGTTGGATCATTACTAAATTTTTTCAATACCGGTATGTAAGGAGTAGTAACTACGTGTTTGTTATCATCATCACTGTAATCTCGATAATTTGGTATGTAAAGTTGCAAAGAATCTTCAGTCTGTGCAGTACAACTTCGTGGGTCAAACTCAAGGCACAACCATTTGACTTCTTTTGGAAATTTGACTCTAACAAAAAAAAAAAATACATCAAAGTCATCTTAGATGAATTTAACAGTAAATAATAACTAAATAACAACAATAATAACGAATAAATTACTTGTAATTAGACACGGTAGCAGCTGTATATGGATGATCGCTTTCAACCCACGCATAATGATGGGAYGTAGTGCATTTAGAGTCTCTGATTTCAGGTTTGGAAGATTTGAACTTTCCCAACTGTTTTGACCCATCCAATTTATCACTTAGGTCTTTATGCATTACGTCTAATTTGTTAGCGGAGTACAAATTAATGGACGTCACTGCCGGTAGCAACTTGTTTATGAGCTCTAACACATGAATAGCGCTCTGAAAATGGATAATGCATGCAAATAATATTAAATAATATTACTCTACAGCTTTTAACAACAAACCACATAAATAACTATTCGAAATTATTATACCTTCGCGTCTTTGGAAAAAGATGTCAGCGGGCCAATATGCGCCAACACCAACGGAAGCAATACATTCACGATAGCTGATTCTCCTAAATATTTGTACACAAGTGGATCTTTTTTTAATTTTTCAACACTCATATTTATTAACTCCATTGACTTTTCCACAACTGTTTTCAACAATGATAATGTACTCTCTCGAGCTTTAAGTTTATTACACACTTTACGTTCGAAATCGCAATTCTTATCATGACTGTTACTAGCAAAAGGTAATTTAAAATTAGAAATCGTCTTAAAATCGTTGAAATCATTTTCATGTTACCTATAGTAAAGTATGTAAGGTATTTGACCACGTGATTGGGTGGTTCCATTTAAGCTTAATGAGCATGTATTAAAAGAAAAAAGTGTATTGTCGTGTCCTTTTACACAACTTAACCCCATGTCACCATTATTTGTTCGGCCACCATAGTTTCTTAAACGGATTGCATACTTTACTCTTTCCTAATGATAATAAAATAAACCAATGTAAATATGGAGGTTTCATTATTAAAAATATTRCATTTTCCTTTTYACCTTGATTCGTATTGGGTGATCAAATTTTAGATCCGCAACGTAATTCATTGCACTATCATCTGGCCCAAAAGATCCTCTAGTTACTATTAAACTTTTCCATCGATTACCATGAGGTTCATCAAATTCCAATTGTTTTTTCTATAAAATTATAATATTTTGATATACATTATTTTGATCGTAAAATTAAAAAAGATTAAAATATTTTTTAAGTAAATTATTTATAACCTCTGCTAACAGTTCAAGTTCATATTCATAATTTCCAATCCCAGCAAACACACCACAACCGGCAATAGCAATACCAGCACTATCTACCCAGAAACAAATGGCATCAGGAGAACCGTTACCAGCATTCCAGGTTTTGGTTTGATTGATTTTAGCAAATCTAGAAGGTGTAGTTAGCAAAATTTCTCTTTCATTAACTATTTCTGTTCCATCCTGAGAAAAAAAGAAAAATKTAATGCTTATGAATTAACAACTAGGTAATCCCTTTTTATTACTTCGGATAAAGTGGCTTGTGATGATAGTTCAGCTACAACCCTCGCGACAAGATGTGAGCAATTGGTAGAAAGTGATTTCAAATCGTTATCAGGTTTGTTACTGTTCAATATCGCATTTCGCACAGGTAACCCTATTATGTCTAAAAGTTGTGCGAGTAATATTTCCCAGTTTGGTTCAGTTTTTAAATTATTATGGGCAGCTGATGTAGTAGCATTGACCAATAATGGATAATAATACTGATGATCCTGATCTGATGATCCAGATTTGTCATTACGTTTTGTTGATTTCAATATTGGCATAAGTTCACGGAGCCTGTATGTAGTATTACACAATGCAGCCACAACTGCAGTGAGTAGCTTATTCTTATGATCAGTCTAACAAAATTAAAGCAAAAATAATACCATATTACATATTTTAAACTTTAGTTTTATTAAAAACGTCTTACATTTTTTTTGTCCATCAATAGTTCCCATAAAGAATATAATTTCAAATGAGGTGTTGGATAAAACGCATGGTAACATGACACAAATGTCATATGACATTCATTCAATATTTGATTTAACCATTTAATACACTTCATAATTTTCACTACTTCGCTACCTGCCAGAATAAAATTTTAAAAATAGTTAAGTAATTTATTAAAATGTTCTGTACATTTTATTTTTAGATTCAGATCCATGGCTACAGGGATTATTAAATTACTATAATTTATTTTTTAGTCAAATCATTTTTTTCAGTAAGTGTAGCGGTAGATAATTAAAAAGTTTCAAATAACCTTTTTATTGATTGGAAAATAGACACAGATGGTAAGCACTTTAAAAAGGTCATTTTTGTTTGACATTTTAATACAAGATTAATTATAAAACATTATTATAACTTAACATAAATAATATCAAAATGCCTATGTCAGCTACTTTTTTTTATGTACAGTTACTTGTATAAATCTTGTTTCCTCTATTAAGCATATAAAAAATTGTATCCCATAAAAATGATGAAATTTCCATAATGTTTAGATGATATCATTTAGTAAAGTTAAAAAAAAAA